TTTTATATAGTTAGGTGCAATGGTATTTGTTACATATATATTTATGATCATTATCTCTTCGTCTTGGATTTTTTTCCCTTTATGACCTTTTTTTTCATAGTGACCTTTTTTGTCTCTCTTAATCAGTCTTGGCTAGCAATTTACTTTGTCTGCAAATAGAATAGCTACTTTGCTTTTTTCTGGGTTCCTGTCATATGAAATATTGTTCTCCATCTTTTGATTCTCAGTCTATGAATTTCTTTTTGAATTAAATGTGTTTGTTGTATGCACCATATTGTTAGATCTTGCATTCTGTCAGTCTGTGGCTTTTGATTGGTGAATTGAGACCATTAACATTGATGGTCATAACTAATATGTACTGACTTATCCTTGCCATGTTATTTTCCTATTGTTGGCTCCCTCCTTCTGTTTGCCTTCCCTGGTAGATTCTTCTGTTGGGGTTCTTGGGACTATAGTCCTTATTCTCTCTTTCTAGTATGTCCTTCCGAACATTTTGGAGTGCTGGTTTGGCGATCATAAATTTCCTCAGATGTTCTTTGTCATGGAAGTATCTTATTTCTCCATCAGTTTTGAAAGACAGTTTTGTGGGGTACATCAGTCTGGGTTGAAAGTTACTTTCCTTTAAAACTTGGAATACTTCACTCCAAGCTCTCCTTGATTTGCAAGTTTGTGCTGAGAAGTCAGCTGTGATTCTGATGGGCTTTCTTTACAAGTGATTGGTTTATTTTCTTTAACAGGTTTTAGGATTCTATCCCTATGTTGAATTTCTGGAATCTTAACTATGATATGCCTGCATGTAGATTTTTTTGTTCATTGCTAATTGGAGTTCTATATGCCTTGTTTATCTGTATGTCAAATTCTTTTTCTCTACCAGGAAAGTTTTCTGTCATGATGTCTGTGAACATTTTAAAATGTCATTTGTGGCATCTCCTGCTTGTTCACTATACTAATTGACTACATTTAGCATTTTTTTTTTTTTTTTTTGGTACCGGGAATCAAACTCATGACCTTGTGCCTGCCAGACTGGCACTTATGCCACTGAGCTAAATCCCCAGCCTGATTCCAATTAATTTTTTTTTTTGTCTTTTTCGTTTTTATCAGTACCAGGGATCAAACTCACGACTGCCTGCTTGCAAGGCAGGTGCGTATGCTGCTGAGCTAAATCCCCAGCCCCTTCCAATTAATCTTAAATTATTATTCTCTGTCTTATCTAGCAGCTGCTGGATTGATTTCTCATGGTCCTTAGCTATTTTTGAGAAATCTTTCTTTTCCTGGTCACTAACTGCAAGCCTGTTTTCAATATCTGAGATCCTGTCCTCACATTGGCCTAATCTGGTTTGAATATTTTCAATTGAGTTTTTATTCTCCTGGATATTTGCTTGAATCTTCTTTATAGATCCCATTTCTTTCCTATGCTGAGCTTCCATGATTTGCTTAAGCTCACCTAGCTTTTTTGACTGTGTCTGCTCTAACATCGCTAAGCATAGTATGTATTTTGGTCATCTATATACTTATGTGAGAGATTATTTCTGATTTCACTTTTTCCAGAGCCTCATTCAATTGCTTTGCTGTTTCCACTTCAGAGAGACCTGGTGGGGGGCTTTCAGATTGTCCTACCTCATTGCCCCCTGGATTTGCCTTTGGTGCACTGGATGTCTGAGGTTGCATTTTGCTTAGGTATCTTCTCATTTTATTTTCCCTTTTGTTAGTGTGACTCCTGGGGTGATGCTTGTAAATTGTCTATGGTGGGTTGCTTTATTGGTAGTATTTAGGATCCTTAGATGATGATTATTTCTCTAATTATCTTCCAGATGTAACTGGTTTTTGGGTTTTGAGTCTGTTGGAAGATCTTACCTCTTCAGTTTGTTAGAGATGGGAAGCTGTTGCTCATTTGATCTAGTTCCTGGTTCTTTGGCACAGTGCCACCATATTTTCTGTGACCCTTAGTTAATCTTGGTCATAGATTATCAGGACCAACAGCTGTTTAGAATGATTATGTCAATTTCGGCTATAGTGGTACCAAGAGCATCAAACATAGACTAGAAAACAACAAACTGAGCTAACCCTTGACTTACAACTTTTAATCATAAGAACTAGATTTGTGATTATATAACAAAATGTAAAACACACCTGGTAATTAAATGAAATATATAAATACATAATGTGTCAATTTTGCCCTCAAGAGTTCAAATTTAAAATGGACTAAGAGAAAATAGAGAAGTGCAAGAAGAGAAAGAGATCATAAGTAAGATTAAAGGACAAAGGGGGATCATGCCAACTAGAGGAAACTGGCACAGAAGACTGAGGGGGCTGGGGATTTAGCTCTGCAGCATAAGCGCCTGTTTGGCAACCGTGCTGTCATGAGTTCGATCCCTGGTACCAAGAAAAAAAATGAAAAGGATGTTATCAGAAGACTGAAGGAAAACAGAGATGGAAGAGATAAAAGCAAGAACAGAACCACACCCACAAATAGGTTAGGAACCACTTTCACACTCAGAAAAACAATGATGGAGAAAGAGAAAGAAAAAAAAAGTTAAAAACAGCCCCTTTCCAGGATTCTCTAGTTTCATTAGTGAACAACCTGTGGAGACAAAGTCCTAAATTGTGCCAATCTATCCCAGCAGGTGAGCTGTTGCCTTATGGCACAGTAGTGGATAATCTCAGCAGGACTGCCCTGAGACTAGATTCACTGGGCTTGCAATTTCCATGGGTCTACACCTAGCTGGGAGCCGCCAGAGGGAGCCAGCAGCAGTTTGGGGTTCTGGGCTGTCTCTAAAGTGACTCCCAGCTATGCGCACACTAAGTCCTCTGCAGTCACTGCCAGCCCGTGCAGTCCTCCATATCCGATGCTCCTCTCCACTGTTGCATCTCTCTTCAGAGGGGTTGCCAGCTGTCACTGTCACCATGACTGTACATCCTCAGATTCAAACAGCTCCTCTCGCACATGGAGTCCCACCTTGGGGCAAAAGCATTGCTGGCTACTGCCTTCTTCTTCCTTGAAGTTTTTCTTTTTACTCTCTTTGTGGGCTTCAACTTGCACTTAAGATTCTTCCTGGGTCCAGAGGACCCACTTTCTTCTTGTCTTCCTCACGGTGCAGTAGTCCAGAGTCTGGACAGTGCCTCTCAGAGAGGCTATTTTCTCTGCTGCTTATCGGTCCGCCATCTTCCCAGAAGTCCTCCAATATCTTTCTGTCACCTTCATACCTTCTCAGGAATATTAGAAAGTGGAAGTGGTAATTCTTAGAGAAGTAGAGGCACAGGGACAATCTGTTAAGCTTTGTTCTACCCCAGAGGGAAGATACCCATGCCAGGTTCCAGAAAGGTGACATCAATATGTTGCTTGATTAGCTTAACCCACTGATGACTATGTTGCCTCCTGATTTAATCACCTCTCGAGAAGTCTCTTAATCCAGTGAAGCTGACAACTAGGATTAACTAGCACAGTCCACGCGCTCTTTTAGGTCCCAGTCTTTGTCTGTCAAAGAACGAGAAGTGACCCCTCCCTCCAGAATTTGGAGGGCCTTGAGTCTAGCCTGGATCTTGCTTAGAAAGAAAACAACCAGTCTCTCTTGTTTGGCATTTTATAGACCTTCAGACTCACTTGAACACCTAACAACTGAGAAAGAGAACAGAACTTTCCAGCCCCAGTATTGGGACAGAGATGCTGAAGCATAAGAAGGCACCTTGTCCAACCCAAAGTCACACAACAACTCTGCCTCTCTGATGAGCTAATGTTATCTGCAACTGCTGCTTTTTACATTCCTTGTGTTCAGGCCAAACTAAAGCAATCACCTGTCCCAGAACACGCCCCACATTCCTCTCCACTGCCCAGATGCCTGGCTCTGCTCCCAATCCATCCTCAAAACACACTTTAAATACTCCCTTTTAAGGAAAGCCCTCTGTCCTCCTTCCTCAGACCTCTGTAGCCCTGATCCTTTCCTATAGTGCTGCAAGTTTTTGGCCATGTTAGCAACTAGAGCTCTTGAAAGTACTGGGAAACAGAGAAGACATTCGGCTTACCTCTCTGTAGCTGGATCCTCCCAACAGGAGTATAGCTCAAGTCCTGCACATAGAAGGTACATTAAATAAAATAAATAAGTGGGTAGCCAGGAAATGCATTCAACACACAGTTTCAGGCTGCGAGAACAATTATTTCACATCTATTAAAGGTCATAATCTAAGCAAGGAAATTTATATCCAGAAAAATGCACACATTCTTAACATTTTATGGATTAGTTCAAAGGTTTATAGACTCTCAGAGGCCATCTATGGTCTCATTATTGTCCTAGGAACTCAAGTTTAGGACCTTTAGCTTCCGGTTAAGAAGCATATGGAATAGCCGGCCATGGGGGTACACACCTGTGATCCCAGCACTTCGGAGGCTGAAGCAGGAGGAGTGTCATGAGTTCAAGGCCAAGCCGGGCTAGTGAGTTCAGGACCAGGCTTAACTACCTGGCAAGACCCTGTCTAAATAAAATAAAAGATAAATAAGCATATGGAACAAGTACTATGTGCAGGTGATGGATGCATTCTCATCAATATTTAAATATGGCTTTAATGCAGGGGCTAGGGAATGTATTGATTCATCCAATTACACATCCAGTGTTTTGAGGTTTTACCATGTGCTGCATCCTGAGCTGTGGACACAGAAATGAATAAGAAACATTGTGAGCTGTGTGCCCTTGAGGCCTCATAGGCTAGCAGGCACCAGCCTGGGGTCTTGTCCTCTCTGTTCCCACCCTATATCAGTTCCCAGTCCACGAGGAGGGATGAAGGCTGAGGTATCCTATCATGATGGGAGGCCCGACCTTGGCCACAGGTACCTTAACCCTGCCTCTCTGTCCTCCCTCCATCTCCACCCGTGACCTCCAGGCCTGCCACCTATGTATTTGAGTAAAGGGCAGGGATTGCTGAACCTGCTGAGTGAGTCTAATGAGTCAGAGGCAACTCAGGTGGGCAAGAGGGCAGGCAGCAGAGGGAGAGCTAGTGGCACTGGGACCATGGCTCTGACTGTGTATGTTCGGAGACGAACAGGGCTGCCAAGTACCCACGACAGACAAGTAAAGCTCAGCTTTTGCGGTGAGTCTACCATAGCTACTCTAAGGATTTGTGGAACAGGAAAGCTCTAGATTTTCCATTCTTCAGACCTCTCAATCCATGGCTTGTCTTTCTCTTTTACCTGATAACTCTCTCTGCTTCTTTCCCTCTTTATTTTCTACTTTTCTTTAATTGTGACTCCAGGGAAACTAGGCTTGGCACCAAAGGGTGGAGAAGGCAAATGATTATTTTGGGTGAGGACAAGGTCTCACCAAGTAGTTAAGGCTGATAATTTCGGTTCTAAACAGGCTTCACCCAGAAAACAAGGAAAATTCACTGTGGTCGAGAAGCAGATGTTGGTGAGGTCAGTATAACTGGTTTCTAAATGGGGAGGAGCTGATCTGTCTTGCTTCAGGTCCATCCTTGGTTTAAAGGACTCAAGTCCTGGAACTGGGGAGGTATAGTCCTAGGAAGTAGGGTCAGCTTCAGGTTTGAGAAGTGACAACCAGTTTGGGGGACAAGTAATTTCCTCCAGATCTCCCTAGTTTAGTGTCAACCCCAGCTTGGAGGATCAATTCCAGGTCTGAAAGATCAGTTCTAACACTGGCTCCAGGCTTGGAGGGCTGGCTTCTATTTCAAGGCTGGAATTGGTTCTGGACTGGGGTCCGGATCAGCCCAGCACTGGGTGTCACAAGCTTCTTCCCCAGCTGTTTCGCTGGCCTCACTATGGGGCTCCACTGCTTGGGGAGAGCTTGTCTGTGCAGGTGGTCAACTGCAGCCGTGTGTTCAGCCACAGGTGAGTGGCCCTGGGGAGCCAGGGACGCAGGAGGGGTTGGAGATGGCTAGTGCCACTTCCCTAGGTCATTGCTCTGTCCCATGCCACTCTCCCAGGCCTCTGGGGACCCTGGTGATCTCCCTGCAGCAACTGCAGAGTGCTGGGCATTTGGTGCTTCGTGAGGCCCTGGTGGATGAGAATCTTCGAGTGTCTCAGGTGAGTCCTAGCAGTCATCGGCCTGTCTTCTCCAAGCCAGAGACTCCCTGTAGATAAAGGGTTCCATTTAACCTAGAGGAAAACTCAAGAACAAACCTAACAAGGTCCTCCAACCAGGGCTCTTCACTATAGCCCCTGCCTGAGTCCTAGTAGGGCTAGAGCCAGGTCAGTGTGGGGCCCAGGGATGTGGCAACAGAAGAAACAAGGAGCCCAAAATGAACCTGATTGGATTTTCCTCGTGTTTCACAGAAATTCACTTAGCCTAGAAGTGGAACTTCATTTTCAGATCTACCACTTTCCAGCTAAGAAATTGGACAAGTTATTTAGCATCTCTAAGCTGTTTCCTCATTTATATAATATAGAATCATAACAAGTGTTGTTTTTCTTTCAATCTGTAAGTCAGTGGGTTAGCTCTTTTATAATAAACCAATTGTAGTGCTGAGTAATAAGGATTCATTAACGAGCAGAGCCAGATAAGGATTTGTCCTCTTGGAACTCCCTAGCTAAACAGGGAGGCAAACATAAGCCAATATTCACACACACACACACACACACACACACACACACACACACACACAATGTAAAATTAGAGCTAGTGGATGTTACAAAAGACTGGCAAAGGGTTGAAACAGTGTATAACAGCAATATGTGACCTAGGAGGGGTTGGAAAAGTTTTCCCAAGGAAACAGTGTGTGAACTTGGAACAGAAGCATTATAAGCACTGAGTAAGAGAGGAGAATGTTCTGGGCAGAAGAAACAGAATATGCAGAAGCCTAATGCCCTGAAGGAGCATAGGCAGGGTGCAGAGCAGCAGTAGAACTTGGAACCTAAAATGAGATGCAACTGGAAAGACTGGTAGGGGCCATGCAGAGCTGTGAAGCTCACAGTAAGAGACTGGCCCTTTTAAGAGGTAACTTGCATATTAAGTTCTTAACAAAATTAGGAGTAATTAACATTATCGATAATCATGGAAGAACCATACATCACCACAGATGCAGGCCAGGAGGGTTTCTGTTAATAGGTGCAGTAAAAGCCATTGTCCTTTGACATCTTTTATCAGGAGTACTGTGAGGGACCTAGGACACATTGCTTGTGGCTTCAGCTCCAGGTGGAGCTTGACCTGAAGTACCAGCCCCCAGAGGGCGCTGCTGGAGCAAGGGCAGAGGAGGACTTTGGGACACCTATCCAGGACAGGTAACCCCCCCAGGAACCCGAGTAAGGCCTGGTGGTCCCAGCCCAGGAAGGTCCTGGAGAGGGGAAAGTGGCACCAAGCCCAGTCTGCTGGATATAATGACTCAAGGTCTGTGCTGGCAGGGTAGCTGCTTTGTAGTCAGGCCACCCTTTCTCTTTATTTCTCCTCCTCCCAGCTCAGAGTTGATCATTCCCAGTGTGGGCTTCCAGGAGCTGGAGTAAGTATGTGGGAATAACCTGGGATCAGCAGGGTCACTCTTAAGGTTGGAAGCCAGTGACCTGGAGTTTGTTCCAACATCCAGGATCAAGACTGAGTCAATTCCAGGGTCTGTGGTCAGTTCTAGAATCAGGGAATGAGTTCTGGAATTAGAAGGGTCCCAGGGTTATTAATCTGCTCTGGGATCAGGTGAAAGGTTAAAGGTCAGTCCTAGGGTCACTGAAGTCAAGAGAAGGCCAGAAATGGGTGACAAGTAACAGGCATGTCCTGCCTCTTCTGTCAGGCCTGGGGAGGCCCATTTGGAGCGGCAGGCAGTGGCTCTGGGCCGCAGGCTAGCTCGAAGCCTAGGCCCACAGGATGATGAGGAGAATGAGCTAGAGCTGGAGTTGGAGCTGGAGCTGGATGATGAGCCTGATGTGGAGCTTTCTGGAGTTGTGTTCAGCCCCCTCAAGAGGTAATTCATACCTACCCAACCCCACCCTCACTCTGCCGTGAGTCAGTCTCACTGCTCACATATGTGGACCCACTCCCACCTACCCTCATAAACACCGTCCCAGGAGATGGGTGAATAGTGCATATCTTGGGGTCAATCACTCACAGGCATAGACACTGCCATGATGAAGGTCAGTCATACTCACTCAACACTGGTAGGTGGTAAAAGCTTGATGAGGGCAAATTTTGCAATGTCTCATTGCTTAGCAGTGTTGGCACATAGTTGGTGCTCAATAAATTTTGTTGCATGAATAAATATTATCAGTACTCTAGGAATAAGTCCTATTCTATATAAAGACAAGTCCCGAAAGACTCAAATCCAAAAGTTCAGAGACAAGAGGAGACCTCCCCAGCGTCAAGCAAGTGTGCATATTTTGGTGGGGAGGGGGGACCTGAGAGCTCATCTTAAGCTCTTCTGCAGCCGAGCACGGGGCCCAGCTTACCAGGACCACTGGCAGGTGTCCAGAGCCCAGGACTTTCAGGTACTGCTTTCCTTCCAGTTCCTAACCCTCCTGTACCTCCTGTTGTGTGTGCACTTTCCTCCCTCTAGTCTGGCAGGTCTGGCTTCCTGTCCTCCCCTTTCTGTACCCCTTAGGTGGGAGTCACGGTGCTTGAGGCTCAGAAACTGGTGGGAATCAATATTAACCCCTTTGTGGCCGTGCGTGTTGGGGAGCAGCGCCAAGTGACAGCCACACAGCGTGGGACCAATTGCCCCTTCTACAACGAGGTGGGCGCAGACCAAGGAAGAGAACAGTTTTTTGTTTGTTTGTTTGGTACTGGGGATCAAACTCACAAGTGCTTAGGTCACTGAGTTGAATTCTGGGTGAGAACTATTTGAGAACAAGCACTCAGAGAGGACCCTGTGGGGTGCAGCCTAGCACAGTTTCCTCACATGCCCGGCCTATGGGTGGGCGGGGCTTATTGAGCAAGTGAGGATGCATAATTGTAAGTACCACCTTCCCTTTCCTAGAGGCCCTTTACCGCTAACCTCTCAGCCCCACTTTAACCCAGTATTTCTTGTTCGAATTTCATGAGACCCGGCTTCGCCTCCAAGACTTACTACTGGAGATCACGGTGAGGAGGGTACACTGTGAGCAGTTTCCATCAGAGGTGGGTGGGGGGAGGGGACCCAGACGTGGTGGTTCATGCCTGTAATCCCAGCTGGCAGGTCGAGGCAAGAATATCACAAATTCAAGCTCAGCCTAGACAATTTATCGAGAGCCTGTCTCAAAATAATAAATAATGTCTATCATCCCGACTATAATAATAATAATAATAATAATAATAAAGGGCAGGAGAGGGGCTGGGGATTTAGCTCAGCGGCATAAGCGCCTGCCTTGCAAGCAGGCAGTCGTGAGTTCGATCCCCGGTACCGATTAAAAAAAAAAAAAAGACAAAAAAAATTAAATAAAGGGCAGGGGATGTAGTTCAGTGCCAAATCCCTGGATTCAATTGTGAAAAAAAGAAAAGAAAAAGAACAAAATAAGAAAAGGAGAAAGTGAGAGAGGAAAAGAAAAAAAAAGTAGATACAGAAACTCCTAGACTATCAACCAGCGATTTCTTACCGTTTGTTTTTCTGTAATTTTGTATTATTTCTACCCTTTTTTATCTCCAAGTATTTTTTTGTTTCCTTTTCTTTAAATAAGAAAAAAAAAAAAAAAAAGAAAAGAAAAGAAAGAAAGAAACTCCTAGACTAACAATACTTTTCCCCAGGCTTTCCACTCGCAGACACTCCCCTTCATGTCTACTCGGATAGGCACCTTCAGAATGGACCTGGGCATCGCCTTTGATCAGCCAGGTACCGAACTCTCTCTTTACTGAGATTCATGTGTTCGGACCAAGACCCCAGAAGTAGGTCCCCGCAGGCTGAGATTCCAACTCTTGGGAAGTTGCACTTTCCAGGCGCTAGCGCTCCTCCCTGCGGAACCAGACAGGAGCTCCACCACTGTTCAGTGCATAGGTCCCAGCCTATGATCCCTGAACCCTGGCCTTCCCCACGCTCTCAGATGGCCACTTCTACCAAAAATGGGCTCCTCTGCATGACCCCCGAGACACCCGCGCTGGGACCAAGGGCTTCGTCAAGGTCACCTTATCAGTGAGGGCGTGCGGGGACCTGCCCCCTCCACTGCCACCCCCTGGCCCAGAGCACAGTTTGGACATCGAGAAGTGAGCTGGGGTGTGAGGGGCAAGGGACAGTCGGACGGGTGTGGCTTCGGGGCGCGGAGACGCACAGCTGCTAGGCATTCAGCATCTTGGCGTCTCTGCGCCGGGCTCCCCCAGGAACCTGCTCCTGCCCCGCGGGGTGCGCGCTGAGAGACCGTGGGCGCGGCTGCGCGTGCGCGTCTACCGTGCGGAGGGGCTTCCCACCTGCGCCCCGGGCTGCTAGGCAGCCTGGCCCGCGCCTTGCATGACCAGCGAGTCCTCGTGGACCCCTACGTGCAGGTGTCCTTCCTGGGGCAGCAGGTAGGTGACTCTCGTGCCCACTCCACCGCGGCTCACGCCGGGCCCCCACCGAGCCCTCTCCACCCGGCTTCGCCGTGGCTTACAGGGCGAGACTTCAGTGCGCAGCGAGGCGGCGGCGCCTGAGTGGAACGAGCAGCTGAGTTTCGTGGAGCTCTTTCCTCCGCTGACGCGCGGCCTCCGCTTGCAGCTGCGGGACGACGCGCCCCTCGCCGACACCGCCCTCGCCATGCACGTGCTGCCCCTGCGGCAGATCTCCCACCCGGGGCGCGCGGGTGAGCAGGTTTGGGCCCCGCCGCGGTCCTCTCCGGCCTTACCTGTCACAGACTAGGATCCTCACCCCCAGCTGTCAAAATCCTGCCGCACCAGCTTATCCAGGGGCCACCCTGTCCTGCCTAGCGGGTTCTCCAGCACTAAAACGACGCCCCCTGTCGCTCGATCCTTCGCCCCGCCCCATCCGGGCTCCGCCCCCAGGGCCGGTTTAGAGGTCCGGCAGGTCGCGTGCCGGAGCTGTTAGTCTGCTGCTGTTGCCTGGACTCCTCTGCCAGGGCGCCCCCTGCCCGACCCCCACGCAGGACTCGGAAGTGGAGCAGAGACCCGCCCCCTGCTCCCCTCCGAAGCCCTGTTCTTGTTCCTCACAGCCGGGTTTAACCCCACCTTCGGCCAGGCCTGGGTGTCCCTCTATGGCTCTCCCCCGAGTGGGGGACTCCGGGATGGACTTCAGAGTCTCAATGAAGGCTCTCAGAGGTGGGGGCTGGAGCCTCTCAGCTCTGGAGGGTGGAATCTAGTCCCGGGCATTAACCGCCAAGGCGTGTGTGTGTGTGTGTGTGTGTGTGTGTGTGTGTGTGTGTGAATTGAATGAAAGAATGAATGAACGCATTTTGGGGCCTGGGTGAAGAGTGCTGTGGGAGGGAGGGGCTGAGCAGCCAGAGACCCGAAGTAACCAGGCTGCAAAGGCAGTGACAGGGATAGAATGTCTGTGGTGACACTGGGTTTTGCTTACAATGACTTTCTCTGGGTGTTGTGGCCCAGGATAATCCAGGTTTCTCCTTGGGATCTGGGAGAGTACAGCATGACTTCCTTTCACAGAATGCTCTTGCATCCCGTGAAGATTTCCTGCTTTTCGGCGTGCTCTTCGAGGCCACCATGATTGATCCTGCTGTAGCCTCAAAGCCTATCAGTTTTGAGATTTCCATTGGTGTGTGGCTAAGCCTAGCCCCTGAGGGTGATGGGTTTGAGGGTGGTCACTCTTGTCTCATATCTATTGAGGCAGAGGCCTTTGAGGGAGGGGTCTGGCTCTCAGCATGTGGCCTACTGACTTGCTGCTCTGGGAGTAGGTCATGCAGGTCGCAGGGAGGAGCAGCAGCACAGAGGTTCCAGGGCTGGGGAGGGAACCGCAGGCTCCATGGTGGAGGCGCAGCCTCTGCTGGAGTCTGAAGATGTGGGAGTCAGGCTGGAGGAAGAGGAAGAGCTGGGCATCCCAGCCCAGCAGCCTGAACCTGTGGATGGCAGCAGGTAAGTGTTCCTGGAGGTTGCAAGGAGGATGTTGGGAGGTCCCCAGGCACCCAAGATGACCCCAAATCCTCTGCTCCTCTCCATCTGACCCAGTGCTTACTTCTGCTTGCCTCTTCGTCACTGCAAGCCCTGCATACATGTGTGGAGCCGATGGGAGGATTACACATGGTGCCTACACAGCAGCAACTGTGTGTGCAAAGCGGCTGAGAGGCTGGTGAGGGCAAGACTGATGGCCACCAGGAAAGGCTGGGTCATAGGACTTTGGGGTGACTTCACCCTTGAAAGGAAGTGCCAAAAAGAGCTAATGGCCAGCACCTTGTTGGTGCAGGGACAGAAGGTGGTAGACAGCACAGCTTCTGGGAAAACTGTGGGGCTGAATTTGCGGGGGGGACAGAGATTCAGGACTGATGGACCCAGGAAGGGGCTGGTGATAGAGCTGAGTGGACCTGCTGAGAGCTGGGCCCCATAGGCTGGCACCTTAGAGAGACTAGGAAAATGGAACCATGAATCCAATGGAGCTAAAGAAGGGCAGGCCTAGAGGTGCTGTGGGGAGCGGGTGGGGCATCAGGGTTGGGGAGTGGGGTTTGGGACAGTGAGATTCTGACTCTCTCCTGGGTGTTCAGGACCAGGGGCTGCAGGAGGTTGAGAAGATGCAGTGCAAGCCAGGACTGGGTGCCCACCTGCACCTCAAGCAGGCTCTGGAAGAGCTGGTGGCTGGGAGCAGGTAAGCGGAGATCAGCTCCTGCAAAGGCTTGTGACCACCTGCGGCAGGTGAGGGAGACTCACGGGGGCCGTTTGGACTCAAGGGTGGCCAAAGCTCAGCACTTCACAGAAGAGTAAGAAGGAGATGATTGACCCTATCAGTGGAGTCTGACGAAATTATTGGGGTAGGCTGCTCCCAGATGTGTGGGTGCCTTCGTTGACTTCTGCCTCCCCTGAACTCCCTTCCCCCTGTCTCCCCGGAGGAAACAGAGGCCTCACTTCCTCCACAGCTGCTGCCTGGTGGCCCTGGGGTACGTGCCCTCCCTCACTGCCTGGGGCATTCACTCCGCCATTATCCTCGGGCTGTCTTGCATCCTCAGCTGGCCCCTGTCTGCTGGTAGTTATCGGGTCATTGCTGTAACCGCATAAACATGTTCTTGCTTCCATCTTTGACCCTCACTGCCCTGCATTCCATAACCTCCAGGCACTTAAGTCCTTTTCTGATTGTCTTTTCAAAAGAGTTATTTGCCTACTTCAACAAATATTTATGACACTTGTTACGGTAGACACTGTCTTAGGCACAGGGATAGCAGTGAAATACGCTCCTGCCACAAGTCCTTGAAGCTTACATTCCTGTGGCAGATAAGAGAAGAGACACAGGTGATAAACATGTAAATAAGGAGATAGAAATATACTAAGGAGGGTATGTGTTGGTAGAGGAAATAAATCAAAGATACATTAGAGATAGGTGTGACAATTTTATAAAGGGTAAAGATGGGAGCCCATTGGAAGGTGATGTAAAGATAATGAAGAACGAGCTGTATCTGTGAAGGTGTACTATACAGAGGTGTAGGCATGTGCAAAGGCCCTGAGGTAATAGCATGTCAGGTGTGTTTGAGGAAGAGCAAGGGAACCAGTGTGACTGCAGCAGTGTGAGGAGAGTATATGAGGTTAGAGGGGGCTGAGAGGAAGGGTCATAGGAAAAGCAGATCATGTGGGTGGCTCATAAGCCATTGTAGTGACCTTGATTGCTTCTCTGAGTGACCTAGGGAGTTGCTGAAGGTTTTGGAAAGAAGAGATATGCTCAAGTCACACTTATTCTTTGAGCAGGGATGGGGGAGTGGTAGCGTAAGGGAAGAAGCAAGGGGATCACTGATGTCAGCCTTGTAATAATCCAGGTGAGGGATGGTGAGAATCTAACCTGGGGTGGTCGCAGTACAGTGTATCAAGAAGGGATCAATAAGAAATTGTGGTGTCGGAAGTGACACCTCCAAACTTGCAGATGGCCAGGCATACATGGGGTGGAGGAGCATGTGTGAAGAGTCGTGGGTGATTCCCAAGACTTTGGCTTGCACAGCTGTGTCAGTGGTGCTGTTGACACAAGGAGAAGGTCTGAAGCAGGGTGGGTCCTGGAAGCTCGCTCCGAGCTCGTTAGCTTCAGATGTCTGTTAGACTTAGGGGTGGACACCTCTGGCAGCCAGCCAGCAGGTTGAGCCCTGGGGACAGTGTGAGGCTGGAAATACAAATTTCCATGGGAGCTGATGCTATGTAGACAAGGCTGGGTAAGATCACCTGGGAGCAGGGAAAGCGATCTAGGACCTGGAGAGCTCCAGCAGGGCAGAAGAGGGGGGGTCCAAGCCAAGACCTCGCATCAGTAAGGGCAGTGGGGTAGCAGGTGGGGTCACTTTTATGTCTCACTTTGCTCAGCTTTCAGGGTCCGTGGACAGGTGGAGCCCGCCCTCCATCCGGAAATGCTCACTGTGGTTCCCACAGCCCCACACTCCTGCTTTCCCTTCCTCCTCCCTTCGGCTGCCTGCACCCCTCCCTCCTCGACCCTGAGCATTCTAAGGGCCTTGTGTGAACCTCACAGAGCTGCACTGCAAGGCTCTCTTCTGCCACCTTTGGTCTACTATGTTTCCCCCCAACTAAGACTTGATCTTGTATTAATTTTTGCTGCAAAAGACACAATAGGGTTTATTTCCAGGGAGTGTACAAACATTTACACTTATTCAAATGCAGTCATGTCATCTTCATCATCATAACCCTTGCAACCCTGAATTTCCAGCCTGAATTTTTGATTTCTGTGTCACTGAGCAACATCCCGAGCCCACAGCCTGAATTTCTGGTGACTCAATTTCCTGTAAAACCATTGGCCCCAACTCTCATGTCCAGCAATGGAGCTGTCCTTAAATGAGCACTTCTTGTCCATGTAGCCTGCTTGTAGTACATTGGCAACACAGCCATCGGTGATCCTACCCATGAACTCTTCACCCAAACCAAGGCTTCACAAAAGTTTCTGTTAAATCAAGCGTTCACTGAAGACTTATGCAACAGGAGTGGCAGCACAAAGGATGACAGTTAGGAATGGCAGCCTGCACAAAAGGGACGAACAATCCAGACACCGAAATTCATAAAATGTTTATTTCCATGAATACATTAAGTATATCCATTACAAAAACACAGCATGTTGAATACTGCAGATTCACGTTAGACACAGCTGCATCTGTTTGTTATCAAGTGTGCATGTTATTTGTGTGCTATCAGTATTGCAGCTGGTCATTCAGCAGTAAGTTGGAGTTCATCTGTTTATTTAGGTATTTACCTCATGTCCTTTTGAGTATTTACAAATGCTTAATTATAATTTATATTACCACTTGTTTTAACTTTCCTGTCAATATTTAATTACATATTAATATTACCACTTTATAATTCCGCAGGTCCATTGTGTGTTGCAGTGGACATACTAAATGTATCTGCTTGGCTGATGATCGTACCTGAAGCTTATTTTTGAGATAGGACTTGTATTGCAAGCATCCTGGAAAATCATGCTAGGGTTTATTTTCTGGTTAGATTTTATTTTCAGGGAAATATATTAGCTTCATTCCTTGCTTGTTTTTCTATAGAGCACAATTATCTCTATTTTCATTTTACTAAAATTACTTTTTGGAGCGCTGGGTATATAGCTCAGCAGTGTAACTGCCTACCTGGCAAGTGCAAAGTTCTGATTTTGAGTCCCAGTACTCACTCCCTGCCCCAGTATATATATAAAATTATTCTGGCAGGGAAATTTTAGTGAGATTTACATATTTCACATTTCACTCATTATTTGTAGCTTTAGACAGTATAGTTTCTTCTAAGGCAGTTATTTCTACCACACCCAATTTCCCTGAATCCAATTTTGAGTTTGACACTTGTCAGATTTGATTCTTCTGTCAGTATTTGATGAATAGCAGATATTTCAAGTGTGGTTTGAGCACTGGTCAGTTTTATTTGGTGCTGATTAGCATATGATAGAAAGAGGAAGAATAGGGCTGGGGATTTAGCTCAGTGGCATAAGCGCCTGCCTTGAAAGCAGGCAGTCGTGAGTTTGATCCCTGGTGCTGATAAAAAGGAAAAAGCCAAAAAAAAAAAAAAAAAAAAAAAAAAAAAAGAAAGGAAGAATAAGGTAAAAGTGTAAGCTCTGGGAGCAGCATTTGGTTAAATCTTCAGAGAGCAGGGACGCAGCTCAGCGGGAAAGTCCTTCCCTAGCATGTGTGAGCCTGGGGGTTCATTTGCCAACACTGCAAGAAACAACAAAAACAGCACGAAAACCTTTGAAGTCATTTAGTTTGTATACCTTTTAATATTTTTATAAAACATTTATATTTTACAAAATATTTATAAATTTTTAAATTTATAATTATTTATATTATAAAATATTTGTAAAAACTTTAAAAGTTATTTGGAGTCAAACGAGGCTGAAAATATTCTTTGTCTCAAAAACCATTTTACTGCCAGGCGTGACGGTACACACCTGTCATCCTAGCACTCAGGAGATGAGGCAGGATTGTGGCAAGTTTGAGGCCAGCCTGGCCTACATTGGGAGTCCAAGGCCAGCTTGACCTGTATAGCAAGACTCTGTCTCTAAATATATATATAAATAAATAAATATTTTTAAAATTAAAAAAGAAAAAACCATTTTACTTTCCCCAGTATCTTGTAGATGCCAGGCCCTGTCAATAGAGAATACAGTGGGAATTAAAATGGAGTCCTGGCCCTAGCTTACTTTCAATTTACATGACTGAGCAGAATGTGAGAACAGTGAAAGTGGCAGGAGCTGTGAGAAGGGTGGTGGGGAAAGTGACATTTGAGCAGAGACCTGAATGAGGGAGCCTGCCATGCTGATATCTAAGGCAGGACACTGCAGCATGAGGAGCAGCTGCAAAGGCCCTGGGGTGCACATGGACCTAGGGTGGCACAGGGGTACGCAGGAGAGCAAGAGGTGTATTTGATGACAGGGAGATCAGAGGAGCCTTTCGGGCCATTTAAAGGTTTTGTCTTTTACTCTGAAATGAGAAGCTACTGGAGAGTCCTGCGTGGAACAGTGTTGCAAAGATCACTTTGAATGCTCTATTGAGAATGATCTAGAGGGGTAGTGGTGAGCAGAGAACAATCAAGAAGCCATTGCCGTAACCCTAGCTGAGAAATGATGGTGGCTTGGACAAGGGTGGCCCTGCAGAAAGGTGAAAGGAAAGAAGTGGTCGGTGTCTGGGTTTTTTTCTCCCTGTGGGTGCTGGGGTTTAAACCTAGGACCTCATGCATGTCAAGTACATGCTGTACCAATACGCTATACACCAGCCCCAGCTGGATTTTGGATATTTTTTGAAGATAAAGTATGCATAATTTGTTGATGGGCTGCTGTGGAAGGGAGAGGAAGAAACAGTAGCAACGCATGAGTCTTGAAATTTTGACCTTTCCATTTCTTGGGTGGAGGTGGCCATTGGGAGCATGCATTTGGGCTTGCAATGATCCATCTATCTTTTAGCCTGGTGAGGGCTAAACTGCAGGTGATGTCGGACTTACGTATGCATAGGAATTTCCTGGGGTGCAAGCATGTAGTTTGATGCTCAGGAGACCTGGCACAGGGCTGCATTTCTAGCTAGCAAACTGGTGGTACAACCAAGTAGCCAGGGAGGTGGACACTTCAACATTGGTGAGCTCTGGGGCTCAAAGGGGAGGCTGCCCTTGATGAATCTGGATGAGGCCGGAATACAAAAGTCATCCTCAGAAGAGCAGGACTGCGTGGGAGGCTGGGCAGGGGCCTGCTCCCAGTGGCCCCTGCTGTCTTCTCTGAGTTCTCCCCTGTTTCTTGCCTGCTGCCCACAGACAGTTTTGCCGCAGTGCTGAGTGCAGGACCATGACCCGACCCAACGCCTTGGATAGAAGCTGAGCAAAACTGCTGAGTCACAGCCTGGTACTGGGGGAGAGGAGGAGGAGGAAAGCAAGGACACCTAGCTAGGACCCTCCACCCACTCATGATCTCTTCTTGCCTTTCCAGAACCTGTTAGCAAAACAAAGACTTCGGCTTTTAGGGGGTCTGAAGAGGGGCACCATACAAAAGAAGGTGGCATTGGCCAAGAAGCTCCTGACTAAACTGCGCTTTCTGGCTCAGGAGGTGATGCCTCCCCAGCTCATTTCTGTACCCTGTATACCCTTCTCCCTAAGCTTTTGCACCATCCCAGAGGCCTCTAGCAGTTGTGTGTAACACTTGCCCTTTGGACTGATGCCACTGCTTGGAGCACTGGACCATGCTGCATTTAGAGCAGCTGAGGGTGAGGAGAAGAGTGTTAAGGTCTAGTAGCGGTCCAGGGCCTCCTCAAAATCTCTCTCGGGCTGAACCACTGAGGGTAAGTTCTCTTGGGCAAGACCTTCCCATTCAGAAGCTCTGAAGAAGTTACTTGAAGCTGAAGGAGTTCACAGTTTGTAAATGTGCTCTCTGCCAAGTATCTGCATGTGTTACCTTGTGATCTTTCCGGATGCCTGGGAGGGAGTTTATCCCATTTGACAGGAGAAGGGATGGAGGCTTAGAGAGGAGAGTGACATGGTCTGTGGTTCAGAAGCAGAGCAGGAATTCCAAGCCAGTTGGGGGGTTGGGATTTGAAAAGTGAGAAAGAATGTGCAGCGTGTACAGATGCCCAGGATTGGAATGGCACAGCAGGTGGAAGTCAGAAGATTAGAAGGACAGGTAAGTGGTGATAGGATAGAGTCTTTTTTTTTTTTTTGGACACAGGATCTTCCTATGTAGGCCAGAATGGCCTTGAACACACTATGTAGCTCAGGTTGGCCTAAAACTTGAGATGATGCTCCTGTTTCGGCCTTGTGAGTGCTGGGGTTACAGTTGTCTTCCCCATACCTGGATAAAGACCTTATTATATTGAATTTTTATGCAAAACTGTGTGTGTGTGCATGTGTGCTGTGCATCAAGCCCAGATCCTCAGTCATGCTAAATATGCACACTCCCACTGAGCCACACCCTAGCCTTTTTTATTTTATTTTATTTTTTTTGAGACAGGGTCTCTATGTAGTTCAGGCTGATTTTGAACTCACTGTGTAGCACAGGCTAGCCTCAAACTCGCAGTGATCATCCTACCTCAGCCCCTAAGTGCTGGGTTTGTAGGTTTGCGCCATCACAGCCAACATGCTTTTGAAATTTGTAATAAGGCGAGCTCTGGTATAACCCTTTCCTGTAATCCCAGTACTAGGGGAACTGGCAGGAGAGCACCAGGATGAGGGCAGCCTGGGCTACATAGTGAGTTCAAAGCCAGCCTGAACTATATAACCTGAAAAAAAAAAGCCAAAATAAATATATAAGTTAATTAATTTTAAAAAATGAGAACCTACCTTTGTTAGCTAGCATTTAAAATATTTTTTGAAGCTAGGCATAATAGGACATACTTATAATCCCAGCGCTCAGGGAGACTGAGCAGAAAGATTTCAAGTTGGAGCCTAGTAGGCAACTTTGTGACTTACTGTGACCCTGTCTCAAAATAAAAAGTTAAAATTCTTATGGGCCAGGGATTTAATTCAGCAGCATAAGCGCTTGCCTGGCAAATGTGAGGTCATGATTTCTATCCCCAGTACAAAAAAAATTATAATTGACATAAATTTGCATCTTTTCAAGCTTTATAGTATTTTGCTTTTTTACTTAGTATTATGTTTGTGGTATTTGTCCTGATTGTTGCATATAGCTGCAAGTTACCTATTTTTGTTGCTGTGTGCTACTCTTTCATTGTGTGACAGTACTGTGGTTTACATGTTCATTGTGTTGGCAGTGGATATGTGAGCACTTCCCCCTGGTTGGTCATTGGAAATAATGCTTCAAAGAACACTTTGGACCATATTCTGATGTACTAGGGCTGGTTTCTCAAATTGTTCTCAAGTGTTTTGTTCTGAAGTCTCCTTTACATCCTTAATAATAGTTGATCCTAAAGAACTTACGTAGACTACGTCTTATTAGGTAAATATTTACCATTATATGAAGTAGGAAAAAACTGGAGAAATAAAAAATTATTAATTCAGTTACCATACCAAGGGTAAACCCATTATATATTAACATAAATGACATACTTTCATGAGAAAGAAATATATTCTCCAAAACAAAAAATTTAATGAAAAAGGTAGCATTACTTTACATTTTTTGGGCAAATGCCTGATGAGGAACTTTTTATACTCTTATAATCCATCAGTCTTTCTTGCACTTTTAATGGATCTCTTATTTAATTTGTTAATTCCAGTTTTTAAGTGTTTTGCTGAAGTGATCCATCTTTTAACTCCTGTGTGATTTTTATTTTTTATTTATTTATTTTTGGCTTATTGTGGAGCTGGGAGCCAGTTGTAGAGGTGTATACTATAATCCCAGCTCTGTAGTCTCAGCTCAGGAGGCTGAAGCAAGAGGATGGCCATGAGTTCAAGGCCAGCCTGAGTTACGCAGTGAGCTCAAGGGCAGCCTGAACTATAGTACATAGCAAAACCAGGTCTCAGAAAACCTAAATAAAGTGGTGCTGGGAAATCTTACCCAGAACCTCACAGATGCTAGGCAAGCAGGCAAGCACTCTTATCATTGAGCTACATCTACAGCCTAGCATTGTTTTGTTTTGAAATAATAAGATTGAACTTGGGGCTTTTCCCTGAGATACATTCCCAACCATTTAAAAAAATATTTTATTTTGAGGTAGAATCTTGCTAAGTGTTAAATTGCCTGGGTTGGACTTAAGCTTTTGCCTCTGCCTTCCAGAGTGCTGGGATTCCAGGCTGAGCTACTATACCCAGCCCTTTCCTAGTTATTTTAATGTCCCTGTCTCATAATTCTAACATCTGGGTTTCTATGTGTCTACTTCTATTGATTATTTTCTTTTTTTGACTTTTTTTCACTTTTTATATGTCTTGTAACTTTTTATTATGTCTGGATTTCAGTACAAAAGCACAGTAGAAACAGAAATAATGTTCGTCTTGGGAAAGTACTATTCTCTTCACATCAGGCCACTGTGGTAAGGGCTGGGTCATTATGCTCTGTAAGTGAACTGGGCTTTGCTATGTTCTTGGTTTGATTTTGTCTTCAAATGTGTTTGCAGTGGGACAGGACTGTCCTTTCAGCAATGCCTAGAATGGAGAACTGGAAGATTCCAGAAATCTGCTTCTCGTTCTCTCCCAGATTGCCAATATTCTGACTATGTGTGATCTCTCCCTGCTTTCTAGGCAGCCTGGTGGGTTTGAAGGTTGCTGGCGAGTTCACTTTGCTCTTTAATTCTACTTCCTTCCTACAGCACCTTGGGATATACAGTCTGTTTCAATCCTTCTTTCCTAGACTGTTTCATGGTTTTGATTGTTATGAGGAAGGAGCCCTGAGCATTCTTGTAAAAGTCATTTTGCACACCTTGGCCTCTACTTCCAGGTCAATACCTGAAAGTAGCATTGCTGGATGATAGTGTCTCTATGGTTAGGTTTATGGAAAACTGTCACGTCATTTTTTTGAAGTGATTGCTATATTTTATGTATCCACTATTAAAATAAAAAAAGTTCCATTTGCCTCATTTTCTTCACCAACATTTGGTGCTATTGGTGTTTTATGTATTTTGATGAATGTGTAATGGTAACTCATTGTAGTTTTAACCCAGGTTCCTCAGTGGCTTGGTACCGGGAGTCAAACCCATGACCTCGCACTTGCAGACAGGCAGTTACTCCACTGAGCTAAATCCCTGATCCTCATTTACTTTTCATATATCTTTTAACAGTGTTTTTTCATAGTTTTGCTAGTCTAAAGACTGAATTGTTTTGCTTCACATTGTAAAACTGTAAATGTTTTAAAAAGATTTCCAGCTGGCATGGTAGCCCATGCCTATAATCCCCTGTGGCAGGAGGGTATCTGCAAATTCAAGGCCTGTCTTATGTGGTGGTGAGCGCTGGCAAGGAGCAGCAGGACACCAAGGAGCGCTACATCCCCAAGCAGCTCAACCCCATCTTTGGCGAGTGAGGCTGGGCCTTAGGGTTGGGGGTGGAGAGCAGCTTGGCCATCAGTGCTGCGGCCCAGGGGCTGTCACCTCATGCCTGGTATGGGGTGGCACCTTCACTCCAGACTACCTGTGAGGGCCATCTTTCTCCCGGCCAGGGTCCTGGAGCTAAGCATCTCACTTCCAGCCGAGCCAGAGCTGACTGTGGCTGTATTTGATCATGACCTTGTGGGTTCTGATGACCTCATCGGGGAGACCCACACTGATCTGGAAAACCGATTCTACAGCCACCACAGAGCGAACTGCGGGCTGGCCTCCCAGTACGATGTGTGAGTCTGGCAGGGCCCTCAGGAGCTATTCTGCTCTGACCCAACATATTGGGCTCATTCCCAGTTGTGCCTCCGGATCTCGGAATTTCACAGAAGGGGAACTAATCATCCTCTGCCAAGACAGCAAAGCTCAATAGCCAAGGCTTGGCTTGAGTGTTGAGATCCTGTAACTAGTACTTCACCCACTCTTTTGGGCCTCAGTTTCTCATCTGCCAAATAGAGATGGTAACAATATCTCCTTCATAGAAATACATCATTTCTATAAACAAGGACAACCTGTCTCTCACTGGGGTTCTGAGCCTGTATCCCTCCTCCTCAGAGGTCATCATCCCTGTCCTGTGTCTGTCTACTATACACTGGCACCAGCTGAGACATCTTCCTTCCCTGCCCTTAGAGATGGGTACAATGCCTGGCGTGATGCATTCCGGCCTTCACAGATCCTGGCAGGGCTATGCCAACGCTGTGGCCTCCCTGCCCCTGAATACCGAGCTGGGGCCGTCAAGGTGGGGAGCAAAGTCTTCCTGACACCACCTGAGACTCTGCCCCCAGGTACTGGCCCCTCTCTGCTGGACAGGACAAGGGGAGCAAGCTGGAGGGAGAATAAAGTACAGAGGGCCCGGTGCCAGTTTAGTGCACCCCTGAAAAGATCTCACTGGAGGCAGCAGGCAGAAAATGTGAGTTTGGTTGAGTCAGAACAAGTTTCTTGGATGCTGGGTAGAGAAGTCTTTAACTGGACCCCTTAGAAGCCACAGTTAATCAAGTTCTCACATCACAGGGCAATGCCATGGTGTGCACGTGACAGCATGTACCTGCAGAATTGAATTCATGCCTCATGAGTGGCCAGTGGTGTATTCTGTGAACAGGGTCTGAGCAAAGGCTACAGCCCTTCTGTGTGCCCTGGTCCCCCTACTGCTGGCTCTCACCAGCCAAAGTTATAGCAGCAACCCCTCCCACTTCAGGGGGGGCCCACTCGCCCTCTGAGTCTTCCTGTCCATGGACTCTCTCAGTTTAGATCTGCTGAGCAAGGGCCGAGGGAGGAGGGAGAGCTGGGCACTGTGTGGAACTCAAGCTCATACACCTCTTGTTTCAGGTGAGGGGGGTCCTCAGTGGGCAAGTGGGACCTCTGAGGAGGCCCAGGCATTACTTGTCCTGCGGCATTGGCAGGAGATGCCAGGGTTTGGGATCCAGCTGGTACCTGAGCATGTAGAGACTCGGCCCCTCTACCATCCTCACAGCCCAGGGCTGCTGCAGGTAAGGGGTGTTAGCAGTCCCCAAACTCAGGACTCACAGAATCCCAGGATTCCCACTGATTCGGGCCTCTGGCCCTGGCACACCCTTTCTCTAAAACTTCCACTTGGGCCTGATGTTACTTGCCAGCATCCCCACATAGTCTTGGAATCTTGGACTTGTATGCTGGGACCCCTTACCCTGTTCCTGAATTGGTAGGATCCCTACCCCAGTTTGACACCAAGTTTCAGACCTAGGGTTCCCAACCTGACTTCCACCCTGTTGACTAAGATCTGGGCGTTAGGAACACCAGATCTTACTTTTGATGCCTATTTTCCATTCCTTATCCCTGAATCCCCACCCCAACCTTGACCCTATAACCCTCAGCCTGGACTCCACCTTCATGCCCATCCTCCAGGGTCTGCTCGGATGCCCCTGTCCCAGTGCTCCCTCCTTTTGGGGTAGGACATAACCTGTGACCCCATGCCTGTCAGGGGAGCTGGGAACCCTAGCAAGAACCTCAATCCTAGTCCTCTGCCCCTAGGGATCCCTTCACATGTGGATTGACATCTTTCCCAAGGACGTACCTGCCCCACCTCCAGTTGACATTAAGCCTTGGCAGCCAATCAGGTGAGAGAGAATTCTGGTCCTTTCTCCCAAGAGGCGGGCACATCTTGGTCACTGAAGATACAAGCCCCCTCTGAGGTAGGCAGAGACTGCTGAAATCCTGACCACAGACTTTTAGGGTAGATGAGTTAAGAACCCCTCCCTCTCTCTGACATAGCCACTGAGTTGATGTCCATCACTGGTAAGCTGAGAATTCATATATTTTTCAGTGAACCCCCTTTCCATCTAAGCTAGTCTGAGTGGCACTCTGTGGAGGATGTAGCTACTGACATGAGGTTGGATCCAGGTGCTTGGATACTGCTGACAGTCTGTCACTTTCTGTCTCTGGGTTTGCTTTCCTTGGTGCCACTGTCAGGGAGCAGGGGGCTTCTTCAGTGCTGGGCTTATGTCTTACCAGCCAGGCCATTTAAGCAGTTAGTTAGAGCAGAAGCCTAGAGCCACCTCTCCTTAGACCAGCTGGGGTCAAATACAGCTTCTGAAGCCTGTCATCGTGGTCAAGGGGTGGTAATACACCTTAGGCCAGTCCCAGATGATGTCCCCAACTCTGAAGCCAGTTAGGGACTGCCCAACCAGAATCACATAGATTGTTGTGAGGGGGCAGGGTCATCAGCAGAACATAGGGTACAGCCTACAAACAAGGGGAAACTGACATTGGGCAAGAGAAAGCAGCTGTCAGGCCAACTCTGTGACAGGCGCAGACAGGGGACAGGATCCAGAGCATGGCAGCCCCTTCTGTCCTTCCAGGCATGGCCCTCCTGCCCACTGTCTGCCATCCCCCACTTCTGTCTGCAGACTGGCTTTCCCCTCTGCTCAGTCATCACTTTCCTGCTCCCTGAACCTCAGCGTGCGCATCACTTGGCTTGCAGCGGGTACTATTCTGTGCCACTCAACATTCCTGGGTCCGACTCCAAATTTATGGGAAGCCCTCGTTGCATTGTCTTGGGCCAGGAAAGCATTCTTGGTGCCACCTGCTGTCCCTTAATGGAAGCGCAGGCATACTGACTCCAGCTAGGTACACCTCAGATGCTCAGTGAATGTCCGTGGCCCTGGCCCCAGTCCTTCCCGCCTCCTGCAGCCCCTTCCCAGAGCCTTCTTACCAGTCTGAAAACCATCCCCTAGTACATCCCCAGTTACGAGCTCAGAGTTGTCATCTGGAACACAGAAGATGTGGTTCTGGGTGATGTGAACCCTCTCACTGGGGAGATGTCAAGTGACATCTATGTGAAAAGGTAGGTCTTCAGGCAGGAACGGCCAACAGCTATCCTAAGAGGGCATTGCAAGCAGGAGCTTGGGCTTTGGCTGAGTCTACAGCTTGTCTCCAAGCCCTCAGTGTGCCTAGACCTTGGCGAAGAGCCAAGTTCTGGACCCTAGCCCTGTCCCTTCCCCTGGCCCAGCTGGATGAAGGGGCTGGAGCATGACAAACAAGAGACAGATGTCCACCTCAACTCACTGACCGGGGGGGGGGGGACTTCAACTGGCGCTTTGTGTTCCGCTTTGACTACCTGCCCACGGAGCGGGAGGTGAGCGTCCGGCGCCGACCTGGACCCTTCGCCCTGGAGGAGGCTGAGTTCTAGCAGCCCGCTGTGCTGGTCCTGCAGGTCTGGGACTATGACCGCATCTCTGCCAACGACTTCCTTGGTACTGCTTAGCCTCCTCCAGCCTCAACCCCAATCCCTGATTTCTCCCCTCATTGCCCACCACCCCTGCCACCCTTGTCCCGATTCCCTACTCCATGCCACCCCTCAAGTCCTACAATTTCAGAACCCAGGGATGAACTTTCGTTTTCTGGACTGAGGACAGTGACTTCCATTTTTACTCATAGTCCTTGCTCAGTCTTCAGATTTACCTTAGCTCAAGTCACCACAGGCCCATGATCCTTACTTTGGCCATCTGATCCCAGTCCCTGGCCCTCTTCTGTTGGGATCCAGCCACTGCTAGCAGTTGTGTGGTCCATAGCTGTGGCCTGATGAATGACCAGATCCTAGTTTTGGTGCCCCACTTCCAGCTCTGCTGTGCAGCCCCCTGACCCCTGGCCCCATCAGACTTGGATCTCACCCCTAACCCAGTGCGCTGTGATCCTGCAGGATCCCTGGAGCTGCAGCTGCCAGACATGGTTCGGGGGCCCCGAGACCCTGCCCAGTGCTCCGTGCGGCTGGCCGGTGACAGGGCCGGGCCAAGGTGCAATCTGTTCCGCTGCCACCGCTTGCGGGGCTGGTGGCCTGTAGTGAAGCTGCGAGAGGCAGAGGACATGGAGCGAGAGGAGCAGGAGGCAAAGGCTGGCAGGAAGAGGAAGAGGAGGAAGCGGAAGGGCAGGCCTGAGGACCTGGCGTTCACAGACTCAGGTGGCAACGTCTACATCCTCACAGTGAGTGCAGCAGCATAGGGACCCAGGCCTGGCTGTGCGCTCAGCCTCTGTGCCCAGTGACACTCAAGTGTCTTTTCCTAGGGGAAGGTAGAGGCAGAGTTTGAGCTGTTGACTGTAGAGGAGGCAGAGAAGCGGCCAGTGGGCAAAGGATGGAAAGAGCCGGAGCCCCTGGAGAAGCCCAAGTGAGTAAGGCCCGGCGGGACTGAGCCCAGGGCAGCAGGGGTCTGGCAGGGCTTCCTGACTCTGCCTTTCTGCCAACAGCCGCCCCAAAACCTCCTTTAACTGGCTCGTGAACCCACTGAAGACCTTCGTCTTCTTCACCTTGCGCCGGTACTGGCGCATCCTGCTGCTCCTGCTGGTGCTGGCACTCATCACCATCTTCCTCCTCCTGGTATTCTACACCATGCCCGGCCAGATCAGTCAGGTCATCTTCAACCCCCTTCACAACTGACCGGGGACACAAGTCCTTCCTGTCAATACGAGCTGTCTAAGAGTCCAGTGCTTTCTTTCAGTAAAACTTAATCACATGTCCATCAGATCCTGACTATGCATTGTGCAGAGTAGGCTCCCACAGGCAGCAGAGGACACAGGTGTCCTTGAGTAGTCTCAATGCTAGAGATTTGCTGAAATACACAGGGATGGAAGACCGGGGCGGTCAGGGGCCAGGGTATCCATTCACTGTCACAGGACAGTCAGCGTTCAGGGAGGCCACCTGTTGCCATTCCTGCTGGGGGCCAGGTCTCTCCTGCCTGATCTGCCTGTGGTTCTGCCACTCCACATCTAAGCACTGTGCTCTTCCATCACTTACTCCTTACCTGTCCCAAGGGGAGCATATCCATGAGGACGCTTTTGGTTTCAAAAGAAATGGCCACCCTAACGGAATGTTTGCTTGGCTGCTTCAGGTGCAGTGGGCCAGCAAGACCAGTTGCCTCTGCTTCCTGGCTTAGCACTGCTGCCCCAGGTAGGCAATTTCTTCCCCTGGAACTGCAGGATTGCTGCCACAACCTCGTTTCCCTATTCACCCCAGAAGGGAAGAAACTGATCCTCTTCCCCACCCAGCAATGCAGGGGAAACTTTGGGTGGAACACCAGCCCCTCCCCCAAACCACTTAGGAGGATGAATAGGGCTTCCTGGAAGAAATTCGGGGTACTGTGAACAAGAATGGTTCCTGAATAACCAAACAAGGCCCACAAAGCCAGTGCTGCCACCCTTCATCTCTAGATGACTGGTGTTCACAAGGACACAGCTCTTGGGTTATGTTATCTCAGGGGTTTTGCTGTCACTGTACTGCTCTTTGCAAACATCCATGCCCCCTGCTGTGTTGTGTGGTCACTCCTGGAGACCTACTCTGATGAGCTGCATTTCCTGGGCTGTGGAGTGTCGAGGCCCTGGGACCACGCTCTCCACACACAGGAAGGGCGAAGGGAAGCCCTGGTGCTAGTGCTCTAAAATGGCCCCTACTATTTTCCCTCCTTGCTTTAAGTTTTGCTTCCATCCAGGAGCCTCCAAGGACCAGGAGGTACTTTGCTCTGTGTCAGGGGCAAGTATGGAGCTTGGCACACAGCAGGGTCAATAAGTATATGACCAGGCAACTGAGTAGGGGTTGAGTCCATGGTCCTGGCATATGGCTTCATTGTAGCTGTCACCAAAAAGGTGGTAAATCCCAACTTTCACTCAAAACACCAGGTGTTAGTCACTCCATGGCCTGAGGGCCATGGCAGCTCCAGGATGCTCACCCTGGACAAGTCAATTTTAGCAGAGGAGGGACTGATGACTGAGCTATGGAATGGAATAAAACCCTGTTAGCTAGAAGGTGCCGATGTCAGGCTCTTAGAGGGCATGTGGGCCCTGATTTGTCAGCCAAGAGACTTCGATATGTGGCTAAAGGACGGGCTGGTCTCAGGGTCCAGCCAGACCCAAGAATCACACAGAGACCAGTGAGTACTATCACAATTTTATCAACCTGGGGCTGGGGAGGTGGGAATGTGGAGGATGGAAGAGGCTGAGGGATACAACGACAGACCAAAGAGAAACAGAAGACCTAAGGGAGAAGATGACTACGTTGTCTTCCCCAGCTCAATTTTCTTCTGGATGGCACGGGCTGAGTGGTAGATGAGTGAATCGATGAGACCAGCCACTGGGGGAGAGGCAGGGCTGGCACCTTGATCTAGTGATTCCTGTCACCGCACTCTCCAGACTAGAATCTCTCTTGGCCCCTGAAATGTCCCTTCCTCCCCCACCAAAACCCAAGGACCAGGCTTTGTACTCCCCTCTGTGCTGCACCCCCACAACACCCAGTGCTTCTTACCTGTGAACATGCCCCCGATAATGGCACACACACCCGTCAGGAAGTGAGTGAAGGACCTGGCAGAAGAAGCAGGGACTCAGTAGGCACCCGCTCCCACAGGCCCTGGCCCTGGTCACTCCTGTCCCCACCCTTACCTGTGCTTCTCTGTCAGCTTCACCATCATAGGTGAGAGCTCGTAGAGCACGAAGACTCCGGGAAGCCCTTGGTCACCCAGCAGCCCATTGGCGACTTTTTCATGTCTTGTCACAGAGAACTGATTTGTCCTCAGCACCTAGAGTGTGAAGGGAGCCAGGGCCAGAGTTGGGTCTACAGCCCTGGGACCGTTCCCGCCTCTCATCCTGTGCCCGGACTGTGTGGAGGTGAGAATGAGGCGCCACACTGGTAACCAACACCGCAAGACTCAGGACCACCTGGACCCCCTGGCTCAGCCTTGTCAGCCTGATCACCAGCTTGTTACAGTTTATCAGTCTCAGTTCCATCTGGGCCTACTTTTGTAGGGAGTATAGGATGAGATGTGACTCTCCAAGGCCAAATTCTGAGGCAGAACTGACAGCCCTGCCCTCAGCCCCTCCCATTCTACCACCGTGGAGAGGCTGCACCTCAGAAGCAAGGCCCAAGGAGGCTGAGGGGCCTGGTGTGCTGAAGCCCCGGCCCAGGGTAGACAAAGGGTGCACAGGGGACACTGGGGGGAATGGATGGGGCCTGGGCAGAAGAAAGAGCAAATGCTCGAAATCCATGCCCTGAGCCTATCTCTTCCTGTGAGGGCAAAGTACCACCCTCTGAGCCTTAGTTTTCATCCACCAGGGGAATACAGCAGCACTTCACTTCCTAGGCCGCAGGGATTACATAAAGCACCTCAAGTGCTCGCCACGAGGCAGGTGACTGACATCTGAGGCCCCTCAGACTCACCTCCCCGTCTACTTTCATGTACACTGTGGGTACCACCTTAACAAAATACTGGAACATCATGGAGGCTGCAGGGAGAAGAAAGCACAGGCATGGGTGCTGGGCAGGGCTTTTGCGGCAGGGGGCCACCTCCCAGGCTGGTACCTTGAGGTGCAGTGACGTTAGTGTGGTCCAGGGGGTTCACGATGCCTGGGTAGTCCTCCCCAAAAGACAGGTGCTGGATGTAGTGGGTCATGTTGATCTGCAAGCAACACCAACCTGAGGCCCAGACAGTCCCCAGCCCACAGCAAGCTCAGTATTACAGCAGCGACAGGATGCCTAAGCGTCCATGCAGCTAGGGGAAGAGGAGGAGGGCAGGGAGAGGCAGCCCCCATTCCCCCCAAGAACTTCTGCTCAGTCCATGGGCTCCTGAGGTCAAAATACTGGCTTCACGTACCCGGGCACACTCAGGCCAGGAACCAACTCTGAGTGACAGGTACCAGCTTTGTCTAGGAACTTCAAGCCATGAAGGCAGAGGCTAGAGGTCCCCAATCTTCAGCTGTAATCCCTGTTCCAACCTGAATCAGACTCAGCCACTCCAGGAATCTTTTTTATTTTCGTCTTTTTCCTTTTTATCGGTACCGGGGATCGACTCACAACTACCTGCTTGCAAGGTAGGCGTTTATGCCACTGAGCTAAATCCTCAGCCCCCACTCCAGGAATCTTTTAAAAAGTGCGTATCTGATTGCGTCATGACCCTGCTTCTGGTAGGCCAAAAGGCTTCCTGTTTCTTGGGAGAAAGGCCAGACTCCTCAGTGTGGCCTCAGAACCCGCTGTCTTGCCAATGTCCTCAGCCTCACTCATTCACGGCTGGCCTTGCAGTTCCTCAAAAGCGTACAAGCCCTCTTGGTCTTGCCCTGAGGATCCCTGTGATGCTCCTGTCCAACCCCATCCTTGCCCAGGACTGCTCACACGACAGTTTAAAAAGTCATCCACTCACTTTCAGATGGGAGCGCTACCTCACCTCAGAGCAATGAAAGCACAGCCAAGCACCCGCCCGCTGTACTTACGTTGTCAAGGCCAAAGCTCTGCAGGTCATGGACTAGGAGAGAAGGGAGAAGCGGTCATCAGGGCAGCAGAACAGCCTCCTGGCTCCCTCAGGATCCTCCTTCTTCCCTCTGGAGTGTGACTCACCTAGCTCTTCTTCGACCCCTGATCACTCTCAAGCCTGGCACCTCCTGGACCTGCTTATGGACAGCCAGAAAAGGCCTGTCCTAGGCCCGTGAAGGTCACACCCTTCTTAGGAGATCGTAAGAACAGACACTGTTCTTCCTTGAAATACACAAGGAATCCAAACCTCTACTCCCACCAAGGGCCTGCCTGGGTCTCAGGAAACAAACCCCCCTGATTCTATCTCCTATTAACTAGAGCCAACTGCCAGTCACTAATCCCACAGCGCTTGGCACATGAGAATACTAAGCTCTCCCCTGTTCCTAGCTCAAAGGGAATCCCATACCTATACCAGCTATTCTAGAACAAGTTATTCCTGCCTTCAAACTACAACCTGTCCTGCTGCAAGGAACCCTACCTCAAAGACATGTCCCAGTGCTTCTGACATCACCATCAGCCAAACCAGAGAGGGGGCCCAATCTCAAACCCATCAACACCTCCCCCTTCCCAGGAGGGCAGCTGCCCCAGAAGTGGGGGCTTTCCCTCCCTGGGGGACAAGACCACTTACTCTCCACAGCATGTACTGCAGCATGGGGGAGGGAAGGAAAGAGAGAAGAGAACAACGTTGAGAACTATGGAACAAGATTTATGTCTGAAGAGAGGACTGCATATTCCAGCCTCTGCAACAGATCTGCCTGGCTATCAAGCTTCTTCCGGGTCCCCTTCTCAGGGAGCCCTCCCTTGGCCACAGAAGAGTACAACAGGGCTTGAGGGACAGAACTACGGTGGCCCAGGAAGAAAAAAGGACCTGGGGCCTGAAGAGCCCCTTTCCTAGCTGTGTGATCTTAAGCAAATCATTGGCCTTTCTATGTTCTTTTCCACAAAGGGCTGTTGTGAGGACCAGGTAGGATCCAAAACAGGAAACACTTGGTAAACTTTACAATGTAGATTATATCATCCCACCCCACTAGTCAAAAAGTGTGTCAGAGAGCGGCCTCCAGAGCCTCAATTCTGGTGGATCTCTGGCCTCCGGAATCACTAGCCTTGAGTTTGAACATCCTTCTTCAACATGGTCAGTGACCCTGACAGCAGCCCCCCTCAGCAGAGCAGAGGCTCCGCCGTTTTGGCAT